AATACCATTAAACCAATTCCAATCCCGGCATGTTTGTGTGTTTGAAGAAGTTTCACTTCAGTAGCGTGTTGTATAATTACACGTTGTATTTTTTTTAACTTTGTCTTTCCACTTGTGTTAATCCAAAAGATATGACATCAAACTGGCTGAGATTTTCAAACAACTCCAACTCCAAAAGCACTGCCATTACCTCTCGCATTTTACCCCGTTCTTCTAGTCCAAAATTCATGGCAAATTAGTGTTATTTATTTCAGGACGATAATGTACCAAAGTTTTTGATTTCTAAGCAATATTGGAATGAACATAAATATGACTAGGTGAATGACCGTCCTAGGTAGTGTGGAAAAAACGTGCGGTTCCTTCACCTATCACAAGCTTTTTCTTCCGTAAATTTTTCAGAGAATGTCGGAACTACAGAGTAAGAAATTCATTTTCGTTTCTGCCTTGACTAGCAAGCCTTAATACACCAAGTCAGTCGAAAGTCAAAACTAACCACGCCGCAGTCGTGGGTGTCTGTTAGTTAGACCGTTTACATTTTGAACTAGTTTAGTAACACCGATAACGTTGAACTCGCACATCATCGCTAAAAACATCGCACAAAATTTATTTTGATCCGTTCTCCGTCCGCGAATAAGCGGACTTTGTTTGTATAAATGTGTGCGTTTTATTACGGTCCGTCAAAATAGAACAGCGCTACGACGGACGAGGACAAACAATACTACTAAATAAATAAATAAAGTAGTTTTTATTGAACTTGTAATACTTTAACATTTTTACAAATGGTTAGCAACCCGACCTTTATCGTACAAGTAAAGAAGCTTAAGTTCTTAGACTTGTACGTAATTTATCGAAAATACGAGACGCATATCACGATTTCGGACTTATTAGACCTCATCAGCACGGCATAGACATTTTTGATAGAATTATGGGCAAAAGAGGATCTAGACTAAACCGGAAGCAGACCTATACCTACGATAAGTATCAATTTGATTACTTCGTTTAATTTCTCTAGCGATATGACCTTTAGTTTGACCGGCGCAAAGTAGAAAAGAACAGCACTAGATTAGACAAGAAAGGAGACAAATCTCGGCCAAACTCTAAACCGGTAAGGAGCGTACAATCCGTACAGTACTGCACGAAAAAATTGACCATTTTATCCACTAAAATTGCATTGCTCAAATGTTCTGTTATTTGTACTAATTACTACTGAAAAAATCAACGAGATGTTTATTTATATTTGAAGACATATTAAAGGCTTTAACGCTTGTTTTCAACTCGCACTACTATTCATGATCGAACAAAACTTTTGGCAGGTACTGTATGAAAAAGTATGTTTAATGGACAAGAGTCGAGAGTATAATGAGCTTTTTTCTCCCTACCTACGATTTTGCCAGCGCGCATCCAAGACATTGGAAGGGGAACATCGCTAGAGAAAGTAAATGAAGTAT